AATAAATAAATAAATAAATCCTACAACCACTAAAATCTGACATTACTCCGTATTTGTTTCTATTTTGTGAAGGAGAAAGTTGCGCTCCGTGTCTTCTTTTGAGGTTTTCGTGTCGTTTCCTTCAGTGGATCTTGGTGAGGTGAGGTCAGGTGAGGCGGGGTGACCAGGTTGATCACAGGGTTTGGTGCGGTTGACACAGAGCAGCGTGAATGTGAACTGCACCGACTGAAAATGTAAACAAACSTTGCAATTTTGGTCCCYAATCGAACCGAGTCTACRGGACRATCAGGTATGAATACAACTTTAATTTCATTTAAAAAAATGGGAACACTCGGTAGCTCGTCTTTACGTTTGAAGGTTTTGAGAACATTTTATAACCTCTTAAGTCTGTCAAACGTGGAACAAATTAATGAGGGACAGGGTCAGAACACGGGTCGTAGCTGGGACTAGCAGCACGGCTGCTTAGCTTCAGCTTCAAGGCGCTCGTTGACCAAGTGACTTCAGTCAAACCTGGGAACCACCACCCCCGCTGGAGCCAGGACTGAATGCACGATGAGGCCGCAGCTCAGCACATGTGCAGGTGGGTTAGGAGGAAGTGTGTGTGTGTGTGRGCGCATACCCCCTTGTGAATGATTTCACTCAAACACGCAGGTGTGTGTGATGTGTGTGTGCAGCACGCGGAGGCGTGAGCTCCACCGGGGGACCCACGATCACACGCAACCCTCCAACATCTGGCAGCAGACCGCAGAGCTGCAGCGAACAAACGAGCTCGGAGRGCCGCAGACCTCCTGCAAACCTGACAGATTCTGGACGTTGGCCTAAAGCCTTCCCTCCGTTTTTCCTCCCGCCGTCCAGCAGATAGTCTCACCTCTGCAGCTGTCAGTATTTGACAGCTTTACTTAAAAAAATTAATAATAAAATAATCAGCTTTCAAGAACTGAGTTGGAGATTCGGTTTTCGTCTTTTAGGCCTCCTCCATCACCGTCCTGTTTTTTTCTCTCTTTAATATAAATATTTTTCTTTCTGCAACTGAAATAATTAGAGGTCTTTCTTTCTGATATTTAATACAATCAAAATGTCCTTTCAAGTCTTTTTGTCTTGCTAACACAAACTGAAAATCACAGTGAGGACTGTTTAATCCTGCAGGATATTTAGCACTGCTGCTTGTTGTGGTGTCTAGTAATTGTATTTTATTTTCTTCTGAATTCAGTCTTACGTGCAACATGACATTTGTGAACCAGATGTTTGCCTTTTTTGTTTTTCCTCCCAAACGAGCCTTTTATAAAGGTCACGGATGACTGATGCTTGCTAAAAAAAATCCCGTAGGCTGACAATCCGCTTTTATCACCGCTGTCTGATAATTATTGTGTTTGCTTTCAAATCACCGAGACCTGGGAACGACCAATAAACCCCTGATTCCAAACACCTCCCAAATTAAAAGATTGCGTTTTTTTGTTTTTAATTATTTGTTCTCACAGAACAACACAGAGGAATAATTAACAACACATCTCACACTGTAAACAGTGCGGAGGAACTGAACTGGTCGGGCACGCCTCTGCAAACTTCTAGCATCAAACGTCTCGCAGCAACAACAAAAAACTGAACTTAATCAGGAGTGGATTATAAGAACTCCTGCTGGGGGCGTAATTAGTCTGCGCTCGTAAAACCTCGTATCAAACGTGTCGTTAATCCTGCGGCAGACATTTGCAACAATAAAAAAGGTAATTGAAGCCCTAAAATACAGCTTCACAAATGAGAGGGAAAAAATAGTTTTTGAAAATGTTGAATTAGGCAGAAAGAGTTGGGCTGAGTTCTTTCAGCAGGCGTTCATGTTTCTGCTGGAATAAAGTGCAGCTTGAGGTCATTTCACTGAAACGAGTTAAAGTTTGACCTCATCTAACCTTTGTTTTGTTTTCTGTTTAATAAATCAACCTGCTTCTGCAGCTGGGACTTCTAACTTGTTCACGACTTGCAAATATATCAGGAGACTGAATTAAAAAAAAGAACATATCTTGCAAAATCCACTTTTTTATGTTAAATACATTTTGTATGCATGGTGTCTCTAGAAGTTGTAGTTAGTTAAATTGAATTAAATTATTTGCAACGCAACACGTAAGGCTGGATGGACAAATCTTCCTTTGCTGGCATATTTTAATTCATTTGTAAATAAAAAAGTTTCTGTGCAGCTTATGAGTGTAAGAAAATATCGATACACTGAAATACCACAATATTTCATTCCCCGATACTATATCGATATTCTAAATCCCTGTATCGATTTTTTTTTAAGGTTTAAAATGTCAACTTTCCTGCC